ACACTACGATCATTTAATTTCATACATTTATATTTACACATCCGGAAAAACAAATATGTTGGATATCTTATCTGATATGGAGTTTAATGTATTAGGAACGAAAGGATGTCACATTTTTTGATGGAAATAAAGGTTTTGGCCCAAGGAGGGCTTCATTTTATGTCAGGGCCCTTCAACGGCACTCATTCCTTAATCAGATGCTGGCTGGAAATGCTTTGAAAACATCACCCACCAAACCGCTGTTGCGAGCAAAGTCCTGTTCTCCTTGGCTCCTCCAAACCTTTGTACTTCCCTCACAAGGGCTCAAGGTGAACCTGCTCTCATCTGTGGTTAAGCTGTAATGTATTTTAGCTGTGTGCTTTAATCCAAAGCGACTTAAGCTACATTATGAGCCACCCTGCAGGACGCCCTCAGGAAGCTGCTTCTCGTGTTTGAGACCTTCACAGCAGAGGCCTGCTGGAGGTCCTTCTGTAGGACTAAGTGCACAAAGCAGCAGATATTGGACCTTCTACGGCCCCGTCCAGCTCTCCCACAGTAACTGCCTGTCTCCTGGAATCTCCATTGTGAGAAACATCACATCTCCTTGCAACAGCATGGATGTTCCCTCCTGGAGGAGGTGGATACAAGATTGTTCCTTTCCTTTTGGAGCAGCGTGTATATATATATGTACAAAAACACGCACATTTATGTATGGGGGGCTGCTGGCTGGGGGGTTATCACGCGTCTCAGCCAATAAGAGCATTGGGGGGCGGGCCTAAGACGCCATTGGTCTCTGACCAATGGCGGAATGGAGGAAACCCTCTATCCAGGTGGTCCCCTGCTGTCTCACGTCCAGCCGAACTCCTCTGTTGCTCACCGACCCGGTGGGTGCCATGGAAAGGCTGATACGCCGTCCCACCGAGAGGCCTTCAGGTGCTCACTCACCCCGCGAGGAGTCACAAGCAGCCGGGTGCTGCCTCCCCTTTGATGACCAGCAACAAATAACAAAATGCCCGCTGCACAAACTACAGCTCCAAGAAGGAGTGAGGAACAGTGGGTGAGAGGTTTTCAGGAGGGAGGAACACTGGGTGAGAGGTTTTCAGGAGGGAGGAACAGTGGGTGAGAGGTTTTCAGGAGTGAGGAACAGTGGGTGAGAGGTTTTCAGGAGTGAGGAACACTGGGTGAGAGGTTTTCAGGAGTGAGGAACACTGGGTGAGAGGTTTTCAGGAGGGAGGAACAGTGGGTGAGAGGTTTTCAGGAGAGAGGAACAGTGGGTGAGAGGTTTTCAGGAGGGAGGAACAGTGGGTGAGAGGTTTTCAGGAGGGAGGAACACTGGGTGAGAGGTTTCCAAGAGTGAGGAACACTGGGTGAGAGGTTTTCAGGAGTGAGGAACACTGGGTGAGAGGTTTTCAGGAGTGAGGAACACTGGGTGAGAGGTTTTTCAGGAGTGAGGAACACTGGGTGAGAGGGTTTTCAGGAGGGAGGAACCCTGGGTGAGAGGTTTGCAGGAGTGGAGGACATCGCGTGAGATGTTATCAGGGAGGAAGGAACATTGGGTGAGAGGGTTTCAGGAGGGAGGAACACTGGGTGAGAGGTTTTC